CGCAGCCTTTGCCTTAATCTCTTATCATAAGAACCTCAAGGTTTGCTGCTCAAGCTACCGGCACAGGCTCGTGTGAAAGGAAGAATCATCGTGTCATCACTGCAAACCACTACAGTTCTGCAGATGCAGCAGCGACAGATCAAAATCAATTCTACCAACCATACCTAGATCTCTTTACTGCATTTATTGAAGAAATATGTGGAGGGAGGAGGCTTTTAGTTTTCAATTGGCTACATATTTCTTTCTTCCTTTCTTTTTCGCAATAATAATAATAATAATAATAATAACATGTTAATTAAATCATAAACATAAACACATCGATGCTAGAATTTTGACTTTTCAATACATATACTCTGGAAAGGGTAGCGTAGCATCGTGGTTCTTCACCCTGCAGCCTCTAGCACTGCCCAGAAACCTTTCACATAAAATATAAAATACACCAATTCTTGGTTTTCAATGTCTTGCATGGCTGATGCTACTTGACAAGGGTCACATTGGAAATTAACTCATCCTTTTTTTATCTATATTTAAAATAGTATAAAGATTTAATAAATACTGGTGATAGATGCAAGTATTTATTAATCTAATAAACAACATCTATATCATGATATTTATGTCCATTATCGATAACAACAAAATCTGTGTCGTTTACTTGACCAAATGACGATTAACAAGCAGCGTTAATTTTTGGTAATGTACTCACAAAATCATTATATATATATATATATATATATATATATATTACTGCCCTTCTTCATGGAGAACATAAAGGCAAAACCCTTTAGAGCATAGTATCATATCATGAGAATTTGGGAGTTGGACTCAGAAGACATGCCTCGTTAATCAGAGAAATACTAGATAGGCTGCGTGCTCTGAATTTAAAAAAATCAAGATTACGCTTTCAAGGTTTAAGTTGAAAATAAATTAAAATTTAATAAAAAAACTAAGAATTAAAATTAAAACATTAAAACATTAAGGGTGATAGTTGAAATATCATTAAATTTGAGTTTATGGGAAAAATTAACCAAAAAGAAATTCACAAAAGGATTTGAAGCAAAAATAAAAATCAAGAAAATTAAAATTAAATTAAAAAATAAGATCATGAATTCAATGATGAAATTTAAAATAAATTAGATTTTAATAAATAAAAAAACTAAGAAAACTTAAAATATTATAAAATAAGAGGACAAATCTAATTAAAAATTTTTATATTCCAAATTAAATTTTAATAACCAAACAAAATTGAAGAGGAAAGAAAAAGAGAAAAGACAGAAAAAAAAAAAGACGACCAACAATAAACCGTCAACATATAACACCACACGTGCACTCCCATGTAGAGAAGGAAGCCTTATAGCTTCAAATGCCATCGTGAAATCTATTGTTGCTCCATCGGAAGGCAGCTCATGCGTCTCTCATAGAGCATGGAGCCATCCTAAACACCAGTGCGTAGCACATGTAAATAGCTTTTTTCTAAAAAAAAAGTGAATTGCAATAATCTAACTTGAATATTAAAAAAAAAAAAAATATGAAATAACAAAAACAACCCTAAACACAAGACTTAAAAAACTTGATTTTAGAAGCGATTTGAGACCGTTTGTTTACACAGTTGCAATAGCTCTTAAAGCAAACCGTGTAAACAATACGTTTGGTAATATTAAAATTCAAATTACTGTGTGTGTAGGGTCCATTGAAACCACTGGTTCGTCAAAAGCAACTCTCAATTGCTTCTCACGCGGCCATGTCTATACCAGGTGAATTAATTCACCTGAATACTATTCACATAAATAGTGTGGATGAATCCCACGTGAACAGTATCTCAACTGTTCATTGATCCGTGTCTGACCAGTAATTTTTTTAAATTGTATTTTACGTGAAAAACTAGTATTTGGTATTATTCAATAACATTATATAAATTATAAGGACATCATATGATGACGAATTTGATCACAATTTCAATTTTATTTATGATGATATTTCACCAGATTTTATTACATGCTTAAAATACTATGAAAATTATAGTCCTTATTGAATGAATTTCATACCTGATGAAATTGTAGATAAATTAATGGAATAATAAAAAAATATTTGATATAAAGTATTATTTATTTAATGATGCAATAGTGGTAGTTAAATCTACAATATTTAAATTAAAAATTATTAATATTAATATATATCTTTTTTAGTTATTTTATAAACTCAATTTAAAAAGTATTTTTAACCAAATATATTAAACTAATTTTTATTCAACCTTAATTTCAATCATAATTTTAACCAAACATATATAAATATTAAATTAACATCAACTAAAATTATTTTTTATAAAAATAATTTTTTTTAAACTACAATCACAAAAACTCTCACAACACCAAATACCAACTAAACATTCCAACAACAAAAAAAAAAGAGTAAAAAACCAAAAATACTTCTTCAGGCTAAATAAATGAAAATAACCTTCAAGAACAATTAAGTCATTTCAATGTGCAATAAAGTACGAGCTGATCATCATGAAATTAACAATGACCCAAGAGAATGACCGAATTAACCTCCCAACTAAGCTATACGATTTAATGTGACGGGGGCAAAATGATATTTTTATTGTGAAAACATGAGTGAAATGAGAGAGAGTCCACCTTAAAAGTATGATTCCTTTCAGTTTATTTTTCCAATTGCCCACCAGATGAAGAACAGTGCTCTTTCTTTTTCCCCGAACGATGAAGAACTGATTCCTTCCTTGGATTTACTCTAGAAATATAGCATTTATTTAACTCACGCGAGCAATTAATTATTCTAAAGTCCCGACCGAGCAAAGTGATTGCAAAGCTTTCAAGCTTAATGTCCCTCTTTAAGTGTAGCATAGCTAGAGACTTGACTCTGAAGGCTCCATTGAAAGACTTGTCTTTGCAAAGCTAGCTTACATTAGGGCATACTTGTATTTCATGCAACAAAAGTCTTCGTAAAAGAAGCATGCTTTTGAATTTCTAGAGTCATAAGTCCATGGAAGAACAGTGAATTGACCAGGTAAATGCAGCAGATTAGACGGTATAGTTAGGAGGAATGATGAGGGTGACTTTGGAAGAATTATAAAGACGACGAATGTGTAGAATAAATTATGGGTATGGCCGAAAATTCTCACCAAGATAAAAGGGATTGACTGGGAATGAGGTGTAAAATGGTGTTTATTTGAATTTTAATTTTTTTAAAAAAATTAAAATTTTTTATGTTTTTAAATCATTTTAATTTTAATACGATTGATATCATTATCATAATCTCAAATAGGTTTTTTATGTTTGGGGTGTGATAATAATTACTTTTTAAAATATATTTTGATATTGTAATTGAATTGATTTTTTATTAAATTAAAAAAAAATTAAATTAATTTTTTAATATTTTTAAATTATTTTGATATATTAATATAAAAAATATTTTAAAAATAACTTCTCTTCCAAGGAATAAAAAAAGGATCACGGAGAGGAGAGCAGCACAAACAACAAACACAAGGCAACATGTCAAAACTTTCAACTAAAAAATAAGAAAAGAAAAAAAAAAGAGGATCAGTTTGAACGTGTTGAATCTGCGAGCTCATTCCTGTTTGATTCCCCTTATTTAATGGCCTCCTTCCATGACCTGGCATGGCATTTATCTTCTTTTGGGTCCTTTTCCTTCAGTCATGTTTTTCAACACCATTAATGGAAGCACACCAAGTTATGCTGCCTTCACTTACCATTCTGTCTCCATTCATGGCCTTGTTAATTTGTTCAAATATCAGATCTAGGTGTGTTTGGTAACGCATCCTGTCTCTCATAATTCTTCTTAAATGGTCTTTCATTTCATTTTTATTTTTTATTTTTTTAATGTGTTGCGGTTAAAAATATAAAAATATTATTTTTGTATATTTTAATTAAAAAATATTTTTAAAAAGTATCATTACTAAATACAAATTTAATTAAATATATATATATATATATAATTGGTTTACATCAACTTAGTACAATTAGTCTAATTTATAATCTAGATCTTAAATCAAACTGAATTTAATAAATATACTTATAGCCACTATATTAATCTCATACAAAATCATATATTTCACCGAAAATAATTTGGAGCAAGGCAAAACACCCATGTTTTATGAATATGTACCTCAAACCTTTCTATTAAAAAAAATTAAATCCAATGGGCCTATGATATGATTAGCAAGTTAATGATGATTGTCTCAAAAAAATTTATTGAATATTTTTATTTTTATTTTTATCTTTTATTTATTTATTTATTCATTGCATTTGCTAAAAAAAATATAGAATAAAATTATATATTTAATTTTTTTTGCTGAAGAAAATTACTTTACCAGCAGCAAAATAGTAGCTTATCGGGGCAGTGACGCAGTTCATCATTTTTCAACCACCTCATGCAAGAAGTCACCATTGATCACCGCTCTTGGATTGTCATATCCACATTTATAATGATTGGAAGAGGGTAGAGTGGGTTTTGAATCTCTGTTTGCTTGTCATGAATTTGGTGGAGGTATTTTTTCAAATTACTTTTACACTATCAAAACATTAAATCAACACTTTATTTCCAGATGATTTTCAATAATTTTGACATTATATAAAGCTTTATAGTTAGTCGGATCGGTGATGCAATCCACGAGAAAGTTAGAGAGAGAGGTTTGGACTTGACACAGGCAGATAGAAGTTCCATTGGTTCTTAAAGATTTCTTCCTTGGCAGCCTAGAATACTATAGAACGCATCTTTCTGTATTCCTTTGACATAAAAGGAAAGATAAAAAAAGGAAATGATGCCGCTGACCATACTTTAAGGGGAATCTGCAAAAAGTTTCACGACTACAGTCCACTGGGCGTTCGCAATTGCATCTTCAAAACAAATTCAGCAAATTAAAAACCTTCCTAGGGTTCAAATGACATGATGTTTCAGTTCTCCTCTAGAAATTCAGAAATTCGACAGTGGATGAACAAGAGAGGTGAACAAAATTCATTGAAATTCTAAGTTATTTCATCTATTCAGAACTGGCAGTTTTATCACCTCTTTAACCAGAACAAAGCTTCTCAAGAGCCAAGTTCTCGTCACCACCAACAGATTCTAGCGCACCTCTCGCCAAAGCTTCAGGGAAACCCATCTCCACAAGTTTTTGTACCTGCACCAACAAATATTACATTAACAGCAGCTGTTATTGATGCATTAACAAACATATGCAGAAGTTTAATTTAGAGAAGATGGTATGATTGGAGAGAAAAGTAAATAAACTAAAACATCTTTACCTTTTCCTCGACCCCAAGCGATGAGGTCTTGGCAAAAGTTTCTGTCCAGTAGCGAGCTGTGCCAACAAAGGTCTGGTAGTCTCTAAGATACTGCAATATCCATAGATACCAAGTTAATATGTGAAAATATTTAACTAGAAAAAGAAAATCTACTGAAAATAATAGCAGCAATAACCAAAGTAAAATGGCCTCTGAGATATTGCATTTCAATGAGCAAATAAACCAAACCCAAGAGAGGTATTTAATACATAACCAGTGCCAAAGAATGGGAACGAACTAGCCCTGTTGCGCTACAACAGCATCTTGAGGGTCGTCGGGTTCAGGAGCAGAGAGTAATGCTTGGACAGAAAGAAGTGCTGTCTTTAGAGTGAGTGCTGGGCTCCACTGGTCCTTCAAAATGTCCAGGCAGATTGCCCCACTTTGACTGCTAATGTTAGGGTGCCTTCAGGAGGTAATGACAACATAAACGATGATTAAAGTACTAATCAGCTCAAGCACAGACTGAATGCAATTATAATGCATCAGTGTCAACTAATAAACAACTAGCAACCAACTGATAATTTTAAAAGCTAAAGACTGATCATGTCAAGAACAAATAAGGCAATCCAAAAGTGTGCAAATTCAGCTTACACTGGAGATAAGCTCCACATTATAGTAAATTTCAAAAAGCTTGTGCAAACTATTATTGTCTACAAAGTGTACCCTAATAACTTTTTATGGATAAGTGTGTATCCTAATAACATCAACACACATTCAAGATAGTATTAAGGAAAGGCAAGGGGAGTGGAGAGAATGGGGACAAAAAAGATTGTTACAGCATCCAAGAGAATAGATGCAAATTAACCTAAGTATACTTCAGGAGACAGACCCAATTAACATCAGAGCTAAAACCTTGTTTGTTTCAACCTGCACTAACATCAAACAGTGATATAGTGTGCGACGTAACCAATGGAGAGAAGCAAACTAAAACTCTTCCTCGAAAGTGTGCAAATTCAGCTTACACTGGAGATAAGCTCCACATTATAGTAAATTTCAAAAAGCTTGTGCAAACTATTATTGTCTACAAAGTGTACCCTAATAACTTTTTATGGATAAGTGTGTACCCTAATAACATCAACACAAATTCAAGATAGTATTAAGGAAAGGCAAGGGGAGTGGAGAGAATGGGGACAAAAAAGATTGTTACAGCATCCAAGAGAATAGATGCAAATTAACCTAAGTATACTTCGGGAGACAGACCCCATTAACATCAGAGCTAAAACCTTGTCTGTTTCAACCTGCACTCACATCAAACAGTGATATAGTGTGCGACATAACCAATGGATAGAAGCAAACTAAAACTCTTCCTACAGGTAATTCAAAATTCATGCTCATCATGGTGCAAGTAGAAACCTGAATTAGGAGTTATGCTTGCCAAGACCTTAGTGAAACAGAAGACCACATATTTCACATGGATGAACGGCCCTTAAACTATAATTTTCTTTCTTCCTCGCTCCAATTCACAAGGGGTCTGTTCCACCTATATACTGGAAATTAAAACTTTGGCTTAAAAAGGGTTTTCTACAAGGCCACACATCATTCAATGAAAGCATATGTTGGCCACACAGCTGCAAATTGCCTATAAATTAGGACCATGAGGTGAAGAAAACCAGTTGAATCCTTGCTTTGATCAATGGTACTAAGTATAGCTTTTGAAAGATATGATGAAAAACAAAAACACCAATACAAAAGGAAAAGAAAGCAAATACAGATGACGAAATTCAAACTAATCCACCAGAAATGGGGAACACTGGGTGAGGAAGTAACATGAACCAATAAATGTTCCCCAACCAAAAACCATGCACAAGTTCTATAGCGGTTAAAGATTACATCAATGAACAACCAACAGAACCTATTGAAGAAATCAGATACATAGCAGGAAGATATTTACTTCAGTAATTTATATTTAAAAGGTAATGCTATTATTCAGCCCACTTAAATAAAAAGAATCACCATCCTTCTAGTTCTCATTATGCCAATTGAAATACAAGCCATAAAACTCTATTTTTCTGACAACACAGCAGCTATATGATCATACTATTGTCTTGTATTAAATTCTTAAGACTGCAATTCATAGGACAGCTGCAGATAACACACTGGTATATTTCTTAAATAAAACCACAGAAATAAAAGCAGCTTACACCAACTTCGCCCTACCAGACTTTTGTTGCAAACTGCATTTTTGGAGGCTCAAAGGGGTATCCATCTACAAAAAAGAACGGACCATTTCAAATGCAGGTCAATACATGTCTCTATATCCTCTAACACTACAACCCTGCCAAACAGCTATAGCTAGTAGTAATAATACGACAAAGAACGCACAGGCTTTGGAAATTCAACAGGTAGCCAAACAAAACCACATCAAGTACACAGTAAAAACACACACTCGCTTCAAACACCCGAAACCCACACCATGATTCTTCTTTATCTTCCATATTAACAATAATTGATACACATTTAAGCACCCTAACTAGTCTTATCAATTACTCTTACAATAACTAAAACAAATAAGCTAAATTTTCAATTTCAATCTTCAAGTCTTTTTTTCTTTTTCTTTCGCAACTTTATTTTCCATCCAATAAGCAAACACCCAAATGCAGCTCAATTTCAAAAGAAAAAAAAAGATAAAAACAACCCATTAAAATTCAGCTATCGAGTATCTCTAAAACATAAACAAAAATCGAAATTTCTCGTACGTGAGTGTTTGTTTTAAGCCAACAAATTATACTACCTGGGAGAGTGATATCAATTTGAAAAGTGCCACCTTCATAAGGAGTGCCAATTGGACCAGGAATAGTGCCGGTTAATCGACCAAGATTGTCAGATTTAGGTGCCACTTTAATGCCAGAAGCTTCCATGTCTCTGCTGCATTCCTGAAGCTCCTTCTGAACACGAGCAAAGTCTATCATCGTTTTTCAAACACAACAAAACCCTAATAAGAGAAGAGAAGAATAGATAAAGAAAAGGAGTGTTGCTTCCTTCCCCTCTCTTTCTCTCCCTGAAATTGATGGGTGATGATGCCTTCAATGCCTCCTAAACCGCTTTAATGAGAGTAGACCGGAGTGAGCAAGGAAAGAGAAAAGGCAGCGAAGCAAGGTGTCAGTCAGTGTTTTCTGTTTAGGACTTCGGATTTTATTATCAAGGCTTTTATTGGTTATACTTTCCTTTTCTTCCTGTTTTTCCTTTATATATATATATATATAGTAAATTATTTTTTTAGTTGCTGTTTTTTTCTATGATTTTTTAATTATTTCTTTCTTAAATCATAAGTTAGTACCTAAACCTTTTTAAGCATTAGTATTTTCAGCACATATTATTTGAATATAATTTTTTCAAAAAAAATCATTAAAATAAATAAATGAGATTTGAACATATTTTCATATATTCTTTTATTATTGAAAATTACAAATAATTTTAATTTTAATGAACAGAAGACTAACAAGTCTTGTTCCATTTTTAATAAAATGATGAGCTCATATTTGACATTTAAAAATAAATTACATGTATTTGATTATTAGTTTTCTTATCATGCGCTATGCATATATATTATTTAATTATATATTTAATATTTTCTTATCAACTTTTCATGGACCGTTTTCGGTAGTTAATAGCTATAAATTACAGATTTCATATATTAATATATCTATCAAAATCTAATTCATATTCACAACTCCCGTTTCTCCTGAAATTGATATATATATATATATATATAATATTAATTAATCATCATAATTATATTTGATTTTTTAAAATTATATTAATATTAATATTAAAAAGTTATTTTTATTCTGAATTTATCTAAATTTATCTTAAAACTTATTTGAAAATGTAGATACGATTATATTTTGAAATATTTTTTATTAAAAAAATATATTAATAATATTTTTTTATTTTTAAAAAATTATGTTTAAGATATATATATATCAAAATAATTTAAAAATATTAAAAATATATTAATTTAAAAAAAAAATCAGTTCTATGCTATACCATTGCACTAATGGTAATTAAAGCACCGCCAATAAAGCGATCAATAACTCGATGTAATGATCATGAACTTGAAAACCATGAAAAATTGAACAAAGCCTTGCATTTTTTCCAACGCATGCTGCTCGAGGAGATAGGATGGGCCCGGGGGTGGCTTTAATTCTCCGAGGCTGTGGTAATTTTGTTTAAAAGGATGTTTTATTTATAAAATATTATATTAATATTTTTATACTTTTGATATATCTATATAAAATAATTATATGTATTATTAAATAATTATTATTTTAAAAAACAGCATGTGCTATAATCTCAAACATGCAATTTACAACAAGGATTAACAAATTAATAAACATTATTTTAAAAATCTAGGTGAACCTAACACTAGAAGAAGAGAGAAGAGGAGGAAGAATGGTGGTTGGGCATGTTATTATTTTGCTTCATGACTGGGTTTCCAATTTCCACTAGTCATGTTTTCTTCAAGTGGTAACTTAGGTTAGGTGTGAAATAAAAACCGAATAGTAAAAAAAAATAATTATAATTTTCATGAATTGAACCCAGGAACCTTGTACTAGTTGATGTGGGGAATTCTTTCAAATTAGCTATAACTTAGGCTACTTCGCGAGGATCCAACCTTTTTTTTTTTTTTTTAATCTTCAATTGTGACAATTAAGCTATTCAAGGGCTACATGTAGCTTGGGCTCTTGTGGTATACACACACATAAAAAAAATATAAAATATAAAAATATTTTAACTACAAAAAACCAATAGATCATTTCAAGGGTGCATATTTAGAAATAGGATGTAAATCATGTTTTTAAAAAATTTAAATTTTATTTTGTTAAAAATAATTTTTTTATATTATTAAAATATTTTGATGTACAAATTAATTTTTTAAAAATAAAAAAATTATTTTAATATATTTTTAAATAAAAAACTCTTCAAATCATAACTACTTTTATAATATGAAATAGACCCAATGAATCTGATTCGTCTTGAAAAATAAATATAATAATTTATTAATTTAAGACTCATGATTTTATATTTAATTAGATTGCGAGTTGATATGAACAATCCAATATGTCAACTTGCTGTAAAGCTACAGTTAAAATCCTAGCTTGTTTTTGTTTTTATTTTTATTTTTTTATAAAAACAAATTAAAAAAAAAACTATATATATAATTGATCTATATCCTCAACCACCCAAACGGAGCCACTTTTATACGTATGTGTCCGTGAGCATCAACCTCTAACAAGACAAATCCACTAACTAAAGGCTCAGAAAAGTAGTTAAGAGTATATAAGATATAACCAAAAAGCTCTTGAAAAGAGGAGCGGCGCCGCGGAAGGGTGGTGGGCCCACAACCCACAGGTCCCTGGATCGAAACCTGGCTCCATTATTTTTTATTTTCTTCCTTAAATTTCTGGCTCCATCCAGAAACGGTCTCTTCCACCTGCAATGGATAAATTCGGAAGCTTCTTGCATCGTGCCATGGAGACACATCTCCTCCTCATAAATTAGGGTTATCCATTTCACGATCTCGAGAGTCGAGAGCATGCTGCTGCTATAACCCTAGTCTAGTCTCCTCTCTGGGCGAGGTAAATGCCAGAGATTAGGCATGGGCAGTCATTTCAAGGCCTCGTGAAAGGAAATCGGCCTGGTTAAATTGCTAAGCCTGCGGCTAATTAATGATTAGCCTTTTCTGCTTACCCTAAGCTTACCTCATAATCCATCTTAAACATGTTTAATTTGGATATGAAATCCCAGAGCCGAAGTCCACTCTTCATCTCCAGCAATCAATGCGTCACTGTCCAAGCAATTCTAGCCAAGCGGTGCTTGTGCGATGACACAAAACAATCTGCATCACTCGACATGATACATGGACCCGATTGAGCTTCTGGGTTTGCCGATTGCCACCACAAACAATAATAGCAATAGCCTGGATTTTTTTAAAAAAATTAGTATAATAAATGTTAAATTTTAACCGAATTATACTATTTAAAAAATATTAATAAAATAGTATATTTTGATACTATTGTATTTTTATTACTCGCTAACTTCAGATTGCATGGACATACAACATTGATAATTAATATTTTATATTAATTCATCATGCTCTAAATTTATTTTTTAAATATTACAAAATTTCAGAATTATTATAAATTTATCTAATTATTAATTTTAAAATCTCAAAAAATTAATTAAGATATACATAGGTTAATTTAAATACTCATAATTATAAAATATATATATATCCCAGACCACAACAGTGATATTTAAGCAAATATAATGTTTTTAAAACGTCAAGGTAATCATAAAACTTAATTATTTTCACCAAAACTTTTTCACACATTTTCCGTGCTAATTAGAAAATTTATCCCAGTAGCCTGCAGGGAAGAAATATAGTGTTTGAGGTTGGCTGGAAGGGTTCCAGGCCTGGAGAACCAAGCACCACGTGGCAGCTTTCAACGACCATTATCCTTCAATTCTAGGGTCCGAAATTCTCTAGGAAAATTAGAACCGGATAAATATTCCTTGCAATACTGTATTATTGAACGATTCAAAGCCTTTATCATGACATTTTATATCACAATTAAAATTACGCAAGCCAGTCCAGCAAGCATCAACACAAATTTTTTCAATCAACGGCCAGAAGCATGGTATTATTATTACTATTATTATTTTATAATTAAAGATATTTGAGTTAACTTACTAGCATCATAAATAATTTCTAAATTTATTAAATATCTTATAAGTTTATTAAACAGATAAAATATTGTGAAGATGACAAATATATACAAAGGTTTGAACTTAGAATGCAAGGGTAAAAAATTCTTTGTCAAAACTATTAGGCTACGAATTTAGATGTCAGAAGCTTAATATTATTAGTCATATGATGAATTTAAAAACAATATATATTAAGTTTTAGATGTAGTTTTTTAGATGAATCAAAATAGCTAAAAAATACATCAAATTTAAAAATATTAAATCCAATTTGATCAGGATTTTAATTATAATCTAAATACGTTAATGTTAGTTGATTCAGATCAATCAAAATTATACAATTTCAATAAAAAAAATTAAAATAATATTATTTTTAATTTCTTTGATTTACAACCAAGTTTTGTCTTGGTTATTTTTACTTGATCAAGTTAATTATCACTTGGTTTTTTTAAAGTTAATTATCACTTGGTTTTTTTAAACTTGACTCGAGCTAGGTCATTCATGGATGTATCAAATCCTGGATTAATTTGCTTAATTGATTTGAGTATAATAGCAATATATGCATCCATTTATATTAAAAATCGATAAAAATAATTACCAAACATAATAAATCTAAAAAAGAATAAACAACCACCAAAGTAACCCAATTTATCCACACAACAAACATTTTAATATTAATCATAATAGGTAATTTAATTAGCTGGGTATTAAGTTTATTATCCAATAATTATAAGTTTGAGTTTTAAAAGTTTTTATAATTATTAAATTTAGAATATATAAAATTAATTACAATACAAATAAATTTATCAAGATATATTCATTGATAATAATAAAAAAAACCCCTTTAATATTGTATGGCATCAATTTGTTGACTCATTCACGCCCGACACAGGAAAAGGAAGAAGAAAAGCACGGAGGTGTTTTCACGTCAGAGATATGCATGTCGGTGTTGTATCACATTTAACTTCTTTGTGTTTATTTTCCAAAAAAAAAAAAAAAACATTTTCGTGTTTATTATTTGAAACCATTTCTATAATTGTTTTTTTTATTCCGTATATATTGGTGTGTTATATTAATTTAGATAAAAATATTTTTTATCTATTAAATCTTAAAATATTTTTAAAAATTATTTTTAATATCAGCAAATCAAAATCATTTAAAAATATCATAAATATATTAATTTAAAATAAAAAATTTAAAATTTTTTAAAATTATTTTCTGGTCACAATGTAAAACAGTATCTAATCTTAATTAATGCTTAAATATCTAAACTTAAAAAAATTAAAAAATATCTTAAATTACTATTTTTTTTTTCTTTCTAGATTTATGAACTTGTCCTCTATAATGATTCATGTGTTCTTATCGAAAGTGTACAGATACAATGAATCAATGATCCGAGACGAAAAGTTTTACTGACCACACGCCCTTTGGTTT